TTTGAAAGCCCCTTTATACCACATTTTTATCAGAAGTGATTGTTTCAGGAGAATTTAACCAGATGTGCCTAGAGTTCTACAGACTGAGGAATTTTCATGCCAATGTGGTATAAAGCCCCTTTATATCACATTTTTGAAAGCCCCTTTATACCACATTTTTATATCTGTTCCTGGCTATGAAATGTTTACATTTCAAATCAGCACAGATAATTCCCTTTGTTTTATATTACATTTTGTCTACAGCAGTCATGGATAACCAATACATTGGGAACTTTATATGTTCTGAAACATTGTCCCGGTTTTGCCTGTTATAGGGCTTGCCATGTTTCTGTGTACCTCTGTTCCCAGCCCAAAGGGAGCCTTGTGCTTTGAAATAAAGCAGTGAGGGAGTGCTGAATCAACGGCAGCTCTTTGTCTATCAAGATTCGGAAAAACAAATTTGCCACCTCCAGCTGACTTTGCAGGGCTGCAGCCTCCTTTCTGGAACTTGCTTTTAAAAAGAAAGCTTTGCTCCTGCATCTGGCCATGATGACTTGGGGATTTTTCTGCTTCTTCGGCAACACCCCTGCTCTCCCAACTATGTAATGCTCAACCTGATTAGAGGTCTTCCAGGACCGGAAAGCTAGCCCATATCTGTAAGATTGTAATGGTTCAATAAAGGTATTGCCCTTTTTAAAACATACTGAGTTGAAGAACCACAAGGTTTTTGTCTTTTTTTATTACAGTGCCATTGGGTAGTCTGTTTGGGGTGTGTGACAGACATTCTAGCCAGTGCTGCTGTAATAAAAGAAGTCCCAGTAAGTAGAGTTATATTATATGTGCTAATGAGTCTGGTTTAGTCACTCATGTAACAATAGGTCCTCTGCTAACTGAAATCTGGGTGAAGGAGAATAGATTGACTAGTAGTAGTTGTTCAGTCATAGCAACTATTATATATGCCAGTAAATTTTGACCCCTTGATCTTAATTATGGGATATACTTTACCATGAATTAGAGGTTTAACCTTAATTATAAAAATTAGAGCTTTGGCTATATTTTAATATTGCTTCGTGCTTTGATGTTAGGCTTTGATCACTCTCCCCACTTTAAGTTGCTAAGGATGGCTTTGATTAAGGTTGAGTGTCAGTGCAATTTAATAAGCTTACTTAAGCACACCCACCCACAAATGTGCTTGGTGCATGGAGGGTCTGTGTAGATGACATGAGCATGGTAATTTTTTGATGAATATTTTCCAGTATTCTAATAGTCGAGGCACCTCTCTATCTCATCTTAAAATGGACTTGACTGCAGTATTGCAGTTTAACAACTGTGCCGCAGCGCTCACTATTATTGAACTTTTCCTCAAGGTTATGCTGCCTTTTGGTGGGATTGCTGATCAGCTTTTAAAGTTAACCTTCTTTGTATGATCTAGATGCTATTTAAAATATGAGTGAAACTTCGGAGTGAATGAATTATAAAAATGGATCAATTTTATCATTAAGCATTATAATAAATTAGTTCTTACAAATTGCTGTGTAAGGGAATATTTGTCCATTCCATACCATTTAACCTGCTGTTCCTTTCTGAAAGCACTGAAGACTATATGACTGTGTGACTGCCTAAAAAGTACATTTGAGAATTTATAAAAGCAGTTATCAAGGGTGCATAACATGTTTTTCTGTGTTTTTTTTAACAGTTCTTCCATGTCCTCTGATTACCCTATTGTACTGGGAACAAGGCTTCTTTTATTTGTCTTGGGAAAGGGTGGGGGGTGAAAATTCAATTTCATGGAAAATGAACTATGTGGTTTCTTGAAAGACCCAAAGGCCGCAATTTTGTTGCCACAAACTCTTCTTTCCAATTTCAGCCATATTGCATTTTCAGATAACCACAGTGCTTAAATTCCTCCACAAAAGCCTTAAATGTTGAGGACAGAGGCAACACATTATCAAGCAGTACCTAGGAACATTGACATCTGGATTCATGCAGCTGTGTACAGGGGCTGGAGCAGTAGCATTCTTTATGTGGATTCATGGCAAACTCATTTTCTAATTGTATTTCATGTTATAGTCAAAATGATGCTATTCAACTGTAAGAGATGTATGTTGGCAGTCTTTAAGAAAGCAGTTATGTCTTCCCAAAATAACTGTAAGCGAAAAAAAATCCTGTGGGGGAACAGACAAGCTCCGCACATTGCAATAAGCATGTCCAGTGGTCACAGAAAGTTGAGCACTTGGGGGAATGAAATAAAATTCCCTGGAAATGAAGATGGGTGGCTGGTTGAAATCCTGAATAGGAGCATTCCACATTACAATGGCTAAACTCCTGTTACTTAGTGTAGTATATTGCTCTAGAGTAGGCCCATTGGATCAATGGGGATTTGGCCATTTTGGCCAGTGTTTGGTTGTGGGTGGTTTAAGCTACAATTGTTGTTGTTTAGTCATTTAGTCGTGTCCAACTCCTTGTGTCCCCATGGACCAGAGCACGTCAGGCCCCCCTGTCTTCCACTGCCTCATGGAGTTGGGTCAAATTCATGTTGGTGGCTCTGATGACATTATCAAACCATCTCGTCCTCTATCATCCCCTTCTCCTCCTGCCTTCACACTTTCCCAACATCAGGGTCTTTTCCAGGGAGTCTTCTCTTCTCATGAGATGGCCAAAGTACTGGAGCCTCAGCTTCAGGATCTGTCCTTCCAGTGAGCACTCAGGGTTGATTTCCTTTAAAATGGAAGCTACAGTTAGGAAGGTAATATTGGTACAAGGTCTAGCCCATAAGGCAATGAGGTGGCAACCTCTGATGATATATGTCCACCCCACTGAAAGACCCATACCAATTCTCCAAAAGATTTTGGTGGCTGCCAATCATTTTGTCTCAGGCTCTAAGTCTTCCTGGAGAACCCATATCAGTGCCACATCTCCACCCACATTGGCTATGGCAAACGCATAGCTAGGATGTGTGGGTATCCGTGTTTGGAAAGGATATCTCTCTTTGGGTTATACCCAACTCTGAGGGAGCTCTCTACTTGTGGCAACATTATACTCACCATGTCCATAATCCCTTACTTCTTCCATTACCCTCTGTCAAAGTTCTTGCCACCTGGGCTCTTTCTTGTAGCCACTCTGTCAAGCTACCTGTTCAGGGTAGGAGCGCCCAGAGGGAACAAAAGGAATGAATGCTATGAAACCTGGAGGGAATCCATTTATTCTACAACACACTTCCGCCACAGCTGGTGTATACTCCAGGGTTTCAGCATTTAAACTTTGATAGGTAGCCACCAGATCCCATAGATTTCAACCAGACTAACTCAGTAGCTTGACTGTAGTTCAGGACTGGATAGTTTATACTACACATCTCCCCTTCAGACATAGGCTTGAAAGGATTTGTAAAGTTTATTTTAAAACAAAAGGGAAAGTAAGAAAATGAAGAATAATACAAAATTTAGGGGGGAAAAACAGTTCCATGTCAAACACCTGTGGATACAGGATCACAGGATGCAAACCAACAATAAAAAGGCCAAGCATTTCATGAACCTTCTTAATCTAACTAGTTATTAATATTGGCTGCAGAAAATGTTCTGGAAGGATTATTTTCCACTTTGATTGAGTTCACTGTATAAATTCATTTAATATGTCATTTTTGCTGTATTAACCTTCTTGAATTAATGAACAGCTAAAGCTATCCTATCTGCTCAACAGAAAGAAGGGAATCCTGGGTTTCCCTTCATAAGGGTAAAACCCAGCATACCTTTACGAGATTGCAAATTTTCCTTGCAAGCCAGAAAGGGGAAAACCTTGCCTATGGAACCACTTTTCTTGAGCCACTGTCAAGGAGGCACAGTGGAGAATCAAACTCTCAACCTCTGGCTCCACAGTCAGATACCCAAACCACTGAGCTATCCAGCAGTTCATGGATAGCTGCATCTGTGTTAAGGCTGAGCCATTTCAATAAACTTCAGAACACACCTTTAGATGAGAAACTGCTATATTTTCCTTTCAGTTGCTGGAAATCTGACGAAGACATTCTAATATAAAACTACATGCCTTTGTTGTATTCCGTGACAAAGAAAATAGCTTATACAAAGATATCAACACTGAGGCAATACTTTTGTAATAAAAAAATGATTATACAGCAATAGCTGAAATGCTGTTCACACCTCTATGCAATGTAAGATGAGTGACATCATCAGCCACTGAGAATTTTCAGAAATAAAATATTTCTAATTTCCCTTGAGGGTCCCAAGGCTCTTGTAGAATTCCTTCAGTTGTGAGAAGCTGCTGGGGACTGCAGGATGGGCTGCAGAATTTCTGATTCCACACAGTTATGAAGGGTATTTTCTGTTTACAATATTTTTCTATTCAGTCCTTGCTTTCCTGAAGTGTTTGAATAAGCACTGTTTACTCTGGGTAAAAAAAATTAAGTAAAATAAAATAGAGAGAGAGCCAGCACTGATAGGCTGCAAAGATCTATAGTTGTGCCAGGCATTTCATGAACCTTCTTAATCTGTCCAGTTATTAACATTGGCTGCAGAAAGTGCTCTGGAAGGATTATGTTCCACTTTGATTGAGTTCACTGAATAAAGTCATTTAATATGTCATCTTTACTGTAATAACCTTCTTGAATGAGTTTCTGTAGCATTACTTATCACTTTGCACTAGAGCAAGTTATAAAATGGGGGTGAGAAAAGGAAAAGCAGGATTTTGTGTATGTACCAGATTTAAAAAAAAACAAACAACTGGCAATATAGGCAGAATAAATCAAAATAATTTACCACCTTGGTAAAACATGCCAGGAACAGAGAAAAATCCCTGCAAACCATACATTTCAGTTACTTTTTTTGTGAGAGTCATTTTTGCCGGTCATGTACTTTGCTGTAAGATATAAATAAAATGCATGGAGACGTTTGGCATAACTCTTGGGAGCTAGGACTGGAAGATGTCCAGAAGGTGGAAAATGGCAATGCAAAATGTTTTGGCAAATTCTTTCTGACTTCTCTTTTACTGCATATATGTTTGCTTTATAGCCTGCCCACCAGGGACATACAAGCCTGAAGGTTTGCCAGGTGGAATTACCACCTGCCTGTCATGTCCGGATGAAAATCACACCTCCCCACCAGGAAGTACCTCTGTTGAGGACTGTGTTTGCAAAGAAGGGTATCGCTCCAGAGGCCAGACATGTGAAGGTAAACTTTTCCCGAAAGAAAATGGAGAAACATTAATATTGTGATTAATGTTACTTTAAGCTAGCGTTTGGTTTTGTTCTTCTACAGAGATTTCTTTCTTTAAAAAGCAAAGTGTGCTGCTTATATACCACTCCATAACACTTAAAGCACTCCCTGGGCAGTTTGCAAGTTAGTTATGCAGGCTAAACATTGCCAAACCACCACCACCACCCCCAGCAATAGGATGGAAGACTAAGTCAACCTTGAGCTGGCTACTTAGGATTGAACTCCAAGGCATAAGCACAGGTTTGGCCACAGTATAGCAGTTTTGCCACTGCGCCATGTGGCTCTCCAAACGACTGTGTCTGCTGAGGACTCCCCCCCCCCATATCTTTCCATGTAATCCATGTCCCATTGCAGAGAAGTTCAGAATTTCACATCACGATTCACTATCCGTTCAACCCAAGTACAAGGAGAGTTTAGAATGTCACTAATACTCCCAAGTATCTATGTGTTTGTTGCACAGCACAACAATAGGGGTGGACAAAATGTGTTGTAGGGAGATTTTCAGATATTTAACTAATTCCCAGAAAGAAAGCACTAGAACAAGAGTGGCATGTGGTTCAATAAGGACCACAGCAGGCCTTGCCTCTCTCTCTCTCTCTCTCTCTCCAAGGCCCACAGCAGGCCTTGCCTGATACACACACACACACACTGTCTGTCTGTTTGTTTGTTTGTTTGTTTGTTTGTTTTGTCTAGAAGCTCTGGTAGCATGATTTGTGATTTTGGGAACCAACATATTTTCAGGGTGTTAGGGTCAAGGGACTGTGGCCATCAGAGATAAGGGCAAGGATTATCCTTGAAATTACAGTAGGACTCCTTGTCCACTGTATCAGTATCCACTGATTCACTTATCTACCATCTGAAAGTATTAAAAATATTAAAATAGCTAAAATTCCTAGATGTATTTCTAAAGATGAAGTTACCAGAACTGGCCACTATGGGGCACAAGAGACCACCTTATGTCTAGTGTTCACTGTAATCCACATTTTTCAGCATTTGCCGGTGGGGGGGCTTGAAACTGATATCACTGAAGATATGGTGGTCCTAATGTACAGAAACTGCTCACTCTTTCTTTAGAATTTTCCAGACATTTTTAAGATTTCTAAGAAGGTTTTTCAGCACTGCTTTAAAAAGAGAGAGAGAGAGGTCTGCTTGGACTGCAGTAGCATCCAAATGTTGTTTTAGTTTATGCAGAAGGATCTTTAAAAATGTCAAATTGCTGTGTGTGCCTTTTTCAGTTTTAGCCAAAAATGTAGCCAAATTATGAATGGTATAGGACAATTAGGGCTGCAGTTATGTAGACCAAGTGTAGGCAGCGTATGGCCCTGCGATTTTCGTCGTCACTGGCTAAATGAACTTGTTCTGATGGTGAGTACAAGCAAACACCACCTGTAGGTTTGCAGGAGTTTTTTTCTGAGTAGATATATATTATGCTGTAAGCTGTTACCACTTGTTTCTAATTGTTTCTTGTTATAATTAGTGGTCCACTGCCCTGAGCTGCACCCACCTGAAAATGGCTATTTTATCCAGAATGTCTGCAACAATTATTTCAATGCTGCCTGTGGAATCCGATGTAAAACAGGATTTGATCTCGTGGGAAGCAGCATACGGCTTTGCCAACCAAATGGCCTATGGTCTGGCTCAGAAACAACATGCAGGGGTAGGAAGCCTGAAAGAACAGGCAGTTTTTCTGTTGTCAGCTTGAATTTGGTTGTTTGCTCCTCCAGTGTCTCCCATCTGTGGTGAGCTGTACTGCACCTTCTCCCCTGTCCACTGGGCATGGCTGCCATGAGGCATCCATGTATGTATAAATGTAAAATGCCACATATGTGGGCATAAATTGTGAAACTGTAAAGGTAAAGGCTCCCCTTGACAATTTTTTGTCCAGTCGTGTTCGACTCTAGGGGGCGGTGCTCATCCCCGTTTCCAAGCCATAGAGCCAGCGTTTTGTCCGAAGACAATCTTCCGTGGTCACATGGCCAGTGCGACTTAGGCACGGAACGCTGTGAAACTGTAGTTATATGCAAAATTAGGGGATTAGTCACATGATCTGAGCCTAAATATGTTGGGCAGAATTCTGTTGGGGGAGAGGGTGCTTGTGACAATAGTCACTCAGCTGTTTCTCCTCTTTGGGAGTCTGTTATGAGACTGACCATGCAACAACCAGAAGCAAATGGGAATTAGCACTCACTCGGCTATATGTTCCTAATGCGGTGGTGCGTGCCTGATGCAATAGTGTGTGCCCTAGCCTAGAGGGAAATTTTGCTGTCCAATTCCGTGCTGACAGTGACCACTCTCCAATCTCTGTTTGAAAGGTGTAATTCTCCGTTTATGGCTCTGGTGCATATGTGTGGGAGGGAAAGAGCTGGAAAAAGTCTGTGTTGTATGCATGTGTATGCATGCCTTTGTGGCCCACAATCTGCAACATGAGATGTGGCCCTCTGTGTTAAACAACTCCCCAAGTCTTAATGAATAAATGTCCTATGTGAAGCATGTTTGATGCTAGCTTTATTTTTCAAAGTGTGATGCCATAGACAAATGAACTGCTACTACATGGGCCAGCCCCAGAGTAACCATTAAGCAAAATAAGGACGTGCCTAGGGCATCAACAAGGGAAGGGGGCACCACTGAGTTTTTTTCAGTGTCAGATTTACCACGGTCCATGGTGCAAATGGTGCACCCTCCTTAACAAACCACATCCCACCCATCCAAACCCCTTGGCACTCTCCCTCCCTCAAGAGCCCCAAGAAAGCCATCTCCCTATCTAAGGCCATTGAGTATAAACCAGTAGAAAATGAAAAGGATAAAGACTCACCTAGTGAGAAAATGCATATTTTGAGTGAAATGATCAATCATCATTTTTATAAGCAAAGCAAAGCATGCTGTCTATACACCGCCCCATAGTGCTTCAAGCATTTTCTGGGCGGTGTAACAAGTTAATTATGCAGGCTACACATTGCCCCACCCCACCCCCAGCGAGCTAGGTACTCATTTTACCGACATTGGCAGGATAGAAGGCAGAGTCAACCTTGAGCCAGCTACTGGGGATTGAACCCCAGGTCGTGAGCACAGCTTTGGCTGCAGTACAGCAGTTTAACCACTGCGCCATGAGGCTCATTGCTTGGCTTTTTTTTAATCTTCTGTATTTTTGGAGGTTGGGTGGGGATAAGGATATACAGTAAAGAGCAGCTTCAGACCCATGACTTTGTGCTATATGTGCAAGCCAAAGAAATAACAGCCACTGCTATAAACTCTCCAAAATGGATGTTAAACTCTTATTTGAGCTTTTTACTTTACAGATTCTGACAAAATCTGTCTACATTAATCAAAGTGCAAAAGTGCAAGATTTGGCTGGAAGCTGGTAATATGACCGTACGCATGATTTTGCACATGATATGTGGTTCTTTTTTGCCACATGCTATACAATTAAATTACAGTATTTTCATGCACATAATGTGCACATTATATATATATTTCGTACCTCTGTTTCAAATAGATATATAGAATGTTAGATACTGAATTAGATATTTGAAACAGAGATACAAAATATAATACTGTGTAGATAAACACGGATATAACATGATGTAGTGTGGGAATAGGGTATAAAATCTATTGCAGTCAGAATTATATAATGGATATATTTGTATGTTTGAATGGAAAATACCTCCTCGCCTATATGTTTTGTCTGTCTTACATGTTTTTTTATTGTCCTATAGGTTTTTGTTTGCTTTGTATGTAGTTACGTCTTTAAAAAAATCAACCAGGAATCGCATGAGTGGGCACTTGTAGTTTCTTTCAGATCAAGGTAATCTGCTGCCCACCTCAGGAGCAGGCTTTTTTTTTTTTTTTTTTGTCAAGATGGACCTTTAAAAAAATTAACTTGGAGGAGCATATTTTGAATTTGAGGGGCTTTCAGATGGCCATAAGGGCTTCCAAAATGCCCCTGGCGACTGCCTACAGACAGTTGGTTGCATTTTGCCCAGATTTATTTTAGGTGAGAACAATATTTCACCTATCAGTAATGTTCCTTTTCCAGTGTTACATATTTTACTGTCAATATTGCCAAAATTTCAGTTCATTGTAAAAATAACTGAACGTTATTCAGTAAATTTTAGCAGTCTTCCTGAAATCAGAAATGTTTTGTAAACCTGATGTCAGTATTTATCACAGCGTTCGTGTCACATTCATTTGTGTTTTTTGTAACTCTTTTCATAGGAAACAATTCTGTGTAATTTAACTGGAAAATAATATGTAACCCACTTTGCCATACATCCATCAACAAATAAATGTGTACAGAGTTTAGATACGTAAACATAGTGGTACAATGTAAAATAGATCCAGGCAACATTGTAGGCGGGCAGATTAAAGTCTGAGCAAGAGATGATACCTCAACCCCAGTTTTTCAAGGGAATCTCAACTAACAACCTCAGTCAGACTATATGGACTGCCTATATGCAACACTTCAAATCAATACTCGACTCGTTGAACTGCTGGGCTGACAGTTGTATTTTATTTTTGAGTGTTGTCATCTCTTTGCTGTTTCTGGACAACTCATCCTTTCTGCTTATTTCCTGAAACAGGACTTTTAAAAAAAATGGAGGTTCCTTAAAAAAGTGTGCCTTTTTTTTACTCTGGGGGAAATATTGGCTTTAAGTAGAGCTAAGCATTTCTCTTGTATTCTTTTCTTCCATTGCTTCTGAAAACTCTTCAAATGCAATGGGTTTTCTTTCTTTTTAAATCTGTTTTATGCTAATATAGATGTTTCCTACTACTAGCTTCAACTGTAGCATGTGCTGTGAATGCTGTTCTACACTCATATACTAATGAGGCATGCTGTAAGCAAAAGAGAGATCAAAGGAAGAGTTTTATGGGCCATCACATTAATCCCTGCATGTCCCCCATTTGCAGCTTTTTATCATATATATTTTGAAAAAATAGTGAAAGGGTGTTAATGCCTTTACACACTGTTATACTATAACACTAGACAAGCATCATTTGGTCCTACTTGCTTTGCTGAGCCAAAATATGTCACAAGTGTGATAAGGAATGCTCAGCAACTGTGCAAAACTAAATAAAGCATAAGCTAGGAAATAATGATTACAGTGAAGCTAATAATTCATTGATATTTTACACACCCACCTCAGAAAAATGCCACCAACTAAAACATATTTTTAAAAAGTCACACTTCAAAAAAAAAATCCACAAGATGCATTAGAATAAAGGGAGACTTTAAAATATATATATTTTAAAAGAAAAAATCATAATCTTAGCCAGCCATGGAGAAATATGACCTAAGTTTGTTACTTTCATGCTTTGTGTGTCCAATTTGCAGCAATAGGTGGGGAGTTCTGATTTCATATTGAATACCAAATTAAACGGTTGGGTTGTGTATTTATGTACGTGTGTCTGTCTGTCTCTGTTTGTGTGTGTGTGTGTGTGTGCGCGCGCGCATGTATGCGTGCACATGCACTTGTTCATCCATGTTCAGATTTTGTGAGAATGGACTTCTACAGTACTTATGTAATTTTCTTGTGCAATTCCCGTCCTCCCTGCAAGCCCCCCTGCCTGCAAATTTGCTCAGGGTGGGGGTCCTCCGACCTCCATGGTTAAAGCAACTTCCGTGCTCCTCCATTGGTGTATTTTCTGCTACCAAAAGCACAGTTTTTGGTACAACCCTATGTGTTTGGAAAGAAACATGAAAGAGCAGGAAAAATGAAGGATAGACCTGAATCAGATGTCATTTTATTTTGGTATTTATAAAGACTGAACTAAATCATTTATTCTAAATTTGACTCCGCTACAATGACCTGTGAGGAAATCCTGAAGTAATAGTGTGAATGAACTACAACCAGAAAACCAAATATACATCACTTTTATGTGAGAATTGGTATGAGAGTTAGGAAAAAGGGTCCCCTGACACAGAAGTATGACCCTTGTAGAAAGCTCATGGAAGTGCCAGCAGGAGGGTCCCTTCCACCTAATCTCTGTTTCATTTAGAGCCTCGTTCTACTGACAACTAAAAATGGCTGTTGTGTCGGGTTCTGTTAGCCAGAATCCAAAAGATTCGAGACCTCTGCCAGTTTATTCCAGCAGGCTCTTCGATTCCAACAAGGAATCTGTAGTAAGACAGAATCAGCAAAGTATGAGGATATTAATAAAGATTGACAGTCCTTTTAGATAACTGGCAGCTAATTCTGAATTATGGTAATCAGCCACAGACTCCTACATTTACAACTAGAGGAGAAACAGGCAAGAGGTACAGAGATTTATGTGTAACAGTGTGCCCCCTGATGTTCCCCAGAGAATTGTAAAGTATTCTGCCTGTGGTGGAAGCTGAGGAATCTGTTGATCATTCTTAAATCTGCCATAAATCTTAAAATCCTGATGTCAGGCCTCTAAATTACAGCTGAAGAATTCTATGTGCTTCTCCTCTTTTTTAAAACATGAAAATGTGACCTAGAAGTAAGCAAGCCTGCCAAAGTAAACATAGCTGCAGTAAAAACTATGGTTCCAGAGGGCCATGCATTTTAAATATCATTTAGTACATATCAGTTGTCAAAAAAAAAATCAGAAAGCATGTGGGGGTGAAGAAGGTCTGCATTCTGGAACTGAACAGTGAGAAATTCCTTATGCACAGATGTTAAATGGATGTTTGGGTTCCTGCTTTGTCTTCTGCTGTTTTTGTTCTGTTTTTTAAAAGTTCTTATTACGAAATCATATAAAATTATCCTTGCATGAGCTGGTTTGCTCCTCCTGGTGTTGTTTCTGTTGTGACCATGACTACAGCTAAGAGATATACAATTGTGGATTTGTAGAGTTGATTAGATTGCAATCAAATGTCTCCAATGATTGCATTGGAAAGCGTTGCTTTAATGGAAACAATGTCCCTTAAACTGACCCCTTCTGTTTTCTGGGGAATCACTCCAAGTCAGCCCCAAAAGGTAGTAGCCCTACAGTTGAACCCAGCATTTCTGCTGGGTGGGACTCTGTCTCACGTGACTTTGCTCCTGCTCATGCGCTCAAACCCCCTGCTCATGCAGGGTTCCATTGCAACCGAACCCGGAACCTAATGTGATCACTGCATGGAGGGAGGCAGAGGTGGGTGTGCACACATGGGCACCCGGCTTTGAAGGAACTTTGAGCTGGACCAAAAAGGTCCAGCTTGGGCATGGATTGGGGTCAGGCCAAAATACATTTCTTTGTACATCATGTCATTGCCAGGAAATAAATTGCACCAGGCCATTCCGCAAGTGGTCCACATTGCAATCTGTTTCCCTGTGTGATCAGACCCTTAGTTTGATTGATACTTCAGAGAGTAGTATGTGAATGTGTGTGAATGTCTCTTTATTCAATGGCTAGCTAAGACATCATAAATATCCACAAACCCCCTATATTATTTTTCTGCTACTAATTTTAGAATCCTGTAGCTGTGGGAGACAGGCAGTTTGCAAGAAGTTTCTAAATTGCCTTGAGTTTTAAACTACAAGGAAGAGTAAATGGAGAAAACTCCTAGGAAGAACACTATGAAGGAAATAATGAAGGGATGGTTATGGACAGAAGTTTCCTACCACCCGTACTTTAAAAGGATTATGCAATTATTCCATTTTTTTTCTTGAAAAAACTTAGGAGGGTCAGAAATTGAATTTATTGTGAATCTCTTTGAATATGGTTGTGCCTCTGAAACTGAAAGCCCACTGGGAAATGAAGAAATAGGTGTGTCTTTTTAATATTCCTGAAATGCCTTACATGGAAAGGATAAGAGGTGAGAAGAAATGGTTTGAAGGGAAACAGTGAATAAGAAATATATGTATTTCTTCTCCTCTCATAGGGTATAGGGAGCAGGTACACTTGAGAAGATGTGACATAGGTGGCACTGCGAGTTAAACTGCTGAATCACTAGGCTGGCAGTTCAAATATGTGTGATGAGGTGAACTCCCATTGCTTGTCCCAGTTTCTTCCTACCCAGGAGTTTGAAAGCATGCAAATATGAGTAGATCAGTGGTTCTTAACGTGGGCA